AAGAATATCAACATTGAAAGTGAAACAAAGGTGAACCATTTCGTTGACTGATTCGATCCACAAAAAATCATTCTTATACAGGTAAAAACGATAATTAACTTATTTTTTTAACCTATAACATGAAATCAAAATGACATAGAAAAATCCAATTGCACGAGGTCGCTATCTATTTATATTTATGTTTATGTTTATGTTTATATCGGGTTATGTGACCGTCGGCAGTCTTCGGATGTCATCTCGATTGTTAATTAGACGGCGTCTAGACTAAAATGCACACGAAATTCGAGTACATGCATTGTTAACTGTTTATTTCAGACTTACTGTAATTTGGATATACGTTTTAGTATGTTATAAATCAAATATGGGAATTTGAGTCAAATCGCTGAACATGATTTTGACAGCTAATGCCCCTTTAAAACCAGTACTAATTTTAATGACTGAAAAAAAACGTGGTAGTTGTTTGAAATGCAATAAAATAAGGGGCTTATAAACTTATCATCGTATAGGTGGTTTTTACTGCAACTGGAGAAAATATTGAATGTTTGGTACTGACACGTCATCTTTCCTTGTATAGCCGCTCTATTATGGTCCCATCATGGACCTCTATCTCAAACACTATACGTTCATGTTACAAGACAAAACCACATCGGAAACACAACTCGCTTATTTGAGAAACAAAAAAAGATAAATAGATTGATGGATATCTGATGTTCAAATTCCAGTCAGAAATAGTTTATACATATTCAACATGAGAACAAAGTAAATAAGGGTCTTAAACACTTTTAATACTTCCGGAAAAGGGGAATAATTAGAAGAGGGGGAAATTGAGTCAGCTTCTGTAGCGGATATAATTATTTTCGAAATCTTCAGAAAGTTTGTACACACGGGTCCGAAGTTGGACTCTCCGAATTGAAATATTACGGTAAATGTGGAATCCAATAAAGAATTAAAGTAAAGATAAACTGTTGACGCAGAATTATGTCCACATGCTACAACCTTAAAGAGGACGATTTCTCATTTATAAAACTGTAACTAAGGATTTATAGACCAGCGCATTTCAGCGAACTCACCTTCGCACTTCAGCGCAGACCATCGCATTTCAGCGTGACCATTGCATTTTAGTGACACCATTGCACCTCCGAGACCTTCATATATAAGCCGTCTCCCTTTATCATACGCAGAAATGCATAAATAAATGCAAATATAGCTTTGGCATCATAAACCCTTCGATTTTCTACACTGAGGTACGCGTTTGGGTCTTTTGATTTTTGAAGTCATTATAATGTATGAAACTTAAATAATAAACAAAATCAATGTACATATATTTCCAGATGCCACAATCCTTGGTGGAATTTGACAGACGCAACCTTTCTAATTTCGTTCGTGATGTCAAAAATTTTCAAAATGAAGATGACCGCCAGATAGCTGAGAAAATTTACATTCACCTTCTTGAGAATGAAAAAGCACTGAAAACCGTCTTTGAAAATAAGGTAAAGATCATAGTTACATTATGGTACAAAATATCGTGCTGGAAAATTACACATGAATTGTCAGAATGCCCAATGTGTTCGTAAAGGGAGAAGTTTACTATTTTTTTTTGCAATTTCAGGGAACAAATAATCCAATGATAATGCAGTTGTGTGTCAATCTTTATTCGAGTTAGGACCCGCATCGAGGACGCAGGAGCCTATATATATATATAGGCAATGAGAAATCTAGTGAACGAAAACAAAAGATAATTCACTCTTCTTATGATAGAGTTGAGAAAGTCAATAATAAAACAATGCCGGTGACGATATTGATCAGAAGTTATTTCTAAATAATAATTGTACATTTTAAAGAAATTATTTGTTAAACTGTGTTATTAGAAATATATATGCAAATACACGATGTGTTGTGTTCGGTATAACTATTTATCGAGATAATTGCACAAGAAGTTGTGAAACTGAAATCTAAAAATTGCTAATCTTGCAGCATATATTGATAAAAGAAAAAAAATGAAAAAAAAATCATGTACATACAAAATCTAAAGATCTTTCGGGTTAACAATTTACGAAGTGTTCCACAAAGTCCTTAGCATGTTACAATTCCCCAAAATATACTTATTTTTCACATCTAAGTTTTCGAGTTCACCGGTCTGCTCTTGTCACATGTACATTCAAAATAGAAATATTGTCTTTTCGTGAAAATAACAATTTAGATTCTGTATGTGCAGGTTAAAAAATTAAACATAACTATTCTTATAAAGAAGGTATTTTTCTACTTTTTTATGCAATTTTAAGAACAGATCGTCGCAATTTTTGTACATGTATTTTCGGTCTTCTCGATCTATTAACATTCAATGTTTACATCGGGAAAAGGTCCGTTTGAATTTGCTTAGTTACTTAATATCAAAAGTGCTAATCTTTGCTGCACATCTATCGATTCCTTTGGAATTTTCCATTGATTTTCTCTGATCTAGCTGCATAAATATGTAGGACTCGGAACCGCGATGGTACTCCGAACCGCGATGGTCACGCTGAAGTGCGATGGTCCACGCTGAAGTGCGTTGGTTAACACGCTGAAGTGCGATGGTGACATTGTGACGCTAACTTGTTGATAACTACGCTGAACTGCGATGGTGGTTACGCTAAAGTGCGATGGTCTGCCTCTGACATTGAGTAAAAAGCAAAATGTACACGAGCTGTTTAAATGAAATAACATCATTATGATTTGACCAAAGTAGCTGCTAGCCTCGCATTTGAAGAAAGACCTTTTAATTTCTGTTCTGTTCAAACCAAAGACTTTAAAATCTTCATTTGTTTTCATCTAATTTTGAATTTGCCAATTCTCCGATTAGTACACAGTAGTATGGAGTCAGAAAATATTCTGTTTAAGGGTGAAAAAAGTTAACTTATTCAGCGTGTAGGTCTATATAATAGTACTTGTCACGTTTTCCACCAAAAACTTTGAAATTGGCTGATTCGCTGCTGAGGAGAATAAATTAAATTGGGAAGTACACGTAGGGACCAGTCAGGTTAATTTCGGTCTAATATGTTGTAGAAAATTAAACACTGTAACCACAATAAAATAAGGCTAGAGTGATGGTGTTCTTACAAATCAGGATTTATCTCGGGACTTAAACAACACTATATCAACTTGATATAGCAAAAACATTGCTATTACTAGTAAGTAATTTCATTATTAAAGTAATTGTCTACACAAAATCGTGTGAAGCATACTTGAAGAGAAGTCAAATTTAATATTTAGATCAAGACATTTTATTTGTCGTTCAAAAGGTTTGCGGCATACTTCCGAACACTGGTTAGCTCATCTGCAAACCAAGTATATCTTTTTGCCGCTTTGTTCCCCATGATTTGCCGCCTGACATAGTTTTAAATATTTTTGTAATATCTCCACCTGCACTCTCAAAACTGTTCGGGACTTGAATCATTCGTTACTTTCTTTTTCCTTTCCTTTGTTTGCGTGAAAATTTCATCTACAAAATCTTATTCTCCTACCTGCGAATCCATGTTGTATATAAAAATGTCACAACATTCAAACGTCATGCTAAACCATCGCACTTCAGCGAAAGGACCATCGTACTTCGGCGCAGACCATCGCACTTCAGCGTGACCATCGCACTTCAGCGTCCCCATCGCACCTCCGAGTCCTACAAATATACGCATAATTAGCATGTTCCAGAGAGGTATACAGCCAGTAGAAAAATAAATTGAAGTTGGTACTCCAGAAATTTATTCTCATACCAACATTTTAAACCAATTTTACATCAAGCTTCTATAGCCTGCTGTACTCGTCGTTTGCTATTTAATGAGGAAAATGATAACATTAAATGGATTTTAACGTTTTTCTATTTTTACTATTTACCCGTGAATTCATAATTGATAGCGTCCTTGCTAAAACGGGACAAACATTGAGAAGATCTAGGTTTCAGTGTTTACAGGGGAGGTAATATTTTGTCACTAGATTTCCCATTGTATAGCTTTCACTTTGTCCGTCTATCTGTCTATCTGTCTGTCAGTCTATCCGTCCGTCTGTCCGTCAACAATTTTTGTAAATGCAAAAACTCCAAAAGTATAGGTAGGAGGGCGATGAAAATTTGCAAAGTTATTGTGCACAATATGTAGATGTGCAAATTATATTTTATTGAATTTGGCTCATTAACTGTGGAAAAAACTTCGTTTTTGTTAAAACATCACAAATTTTGAGAAATTATTTTGTAAACGCAAAACCTCCAAAAGTATAGGTAGGAGGCCGATGAAATTTGAACAGTTGTTGTGCAAAATATGTAGATGTGTATATCATATTTTGGTAAAATGTGTCTCATTCAATTTGGGAAAAAAAACCTAATTTTTGTTAAAAAAACACAAATTTTGAAAAATTCTTTTTAAAATAGGATTTTAACAAAAACTGATATAAAGGTGAATTAAGTTATTTCAAAGTCATTGACAAATTAAAAAAAAAAGACAAAACTTTCTTTTGGTTAAAAAATCCCAAATTTTGAGAAGCATCTTCTTGCAGTAGGATGTCATCAAAGATTGATATATGATATAGGCATGATATGCATTCCAAATTGTTTCCTTAAGTCAAAATTGTGTTCAAAACTAAGTTTTAAAAACAAAAAAATGATAAATTCTGTGAATCATATTTTTTGCTAGGACTTAAAATGTAAAATGTATTATTTGCTATTAAGAAATGATTCGCTATGTGAAAACTATTGGTTGCTCACAATTTACGAAATGCCCGCCATAATACATACATACAGTGTTTGGATTTTAACAAAACATATATTAATCGAGAACACGTCCTGAATTTATTGCTGGTGTCAAATTTTATGAAAACTGGCAACCTATGAACATTTGCTTTGTATGCATCAGTCTCTTTGTCTCACATAAAAATGTGCAAATATACTGGTCATTTTCGACCCAAGAGGGCGAAAAGCTATCACCCAGAACGTCAAAATTGAAATGTATTTCAGTGTAACTTTCATTTGTAGCACATATTAGCCGTTGATATCAAATATCAAACGGTGAAGAAGTTAGTGAAACTCCCTAACGGATTATTTGACGAACTTTCATCATATAGAAGCCGTGAATCTGACGAAAACGATCTGTATTCCAGCTGTCTACGACGGAAGAACATCCAAATAAATGGCGACAAACTAAGGTATGAACAAAAATAATAGTAAATGATCAATAAATAAAAGTTTGTGTACAAATTGTAGCTCGGTTATTCGGCGGACACAGTAATGAGATCAATCGTCGATAGTGGGTACGTATTTTGTGTAATCTGCTCCCATAATTTTTAACCCGGATCCTTCTAACTTAACAGAAAGTTATGACTGTCGATTTTTTTAAGCATCTTTCTTGATTTCAAGTTGAACTTATACGGTTCTAGGAAGTTTAGTCGTGATCATTGAAATAAAAACATATTGATCAATATTTTGATCATAGTTTTCATTCGAAAACTGTAATCCAGGGCTGGGCCATGTAGTTTACATTTCAAGAATTTGAATGTTTGAACATTTGACAGTTCACTCTTTTTGTGAACAGTTAATTTAAATTGGTCCAAAATTCTTTGAAACTTGTTTATCCCCATAATAACCAATAATTTCAAGTTTGGGCAATTTTACAGCAGCAGGATTTTACTTATGTCCATAACTGAATAGCAATAGAAATAATATGTTACAGCTATGTTTTAATAATAATTGATAAATAATAAAAGCGATGTCAATTCCGATAAAGACAATATTCAATTACTTACCTTCAAGAATAAATTCATTCAAAGGATCATGCAATAAATTTATATTGATCATATCTAGATTTATAGGCTCTATAAACAACATCATTGTAAAAGAGAGGCGAAGGAATCCAATGGGACATTCAAACTCATAAATCAAAAATACAATGACAACGCCATGGCTAAAAAAGAAAAAGACAAACAGACAAACAACGGTACACAAAACAACATAGAAAACTAAAGACAGAGCAACACGAACCCCACTACAAACTGGGGGTGATCTCAGGTGCTCCGGAAGGGTAAGCAGATCCTGGTCCACATGTGGCACCCCTCGTTGTTCATGTTAGTACAAACCCGGTGATATGTCTAATTCGGTAGGTCACGTTCGGGGAAAAGGGGACGGGATTACAATTACGACAATTGGAACATATCTGTCGTCATCTGTTAAACAGATATTCCATAACGGTCAACCAACTCGTGATGTCGTCCGAAAAAATTACGAAGGGATGATATTAACTTCACCACTTGGAACTCTTGGTTTAATAGCTTCCTTGTGAGCAGCAACCCTTTATCATCGAAATCATGATAGGAAACACAAGCCCTGGATTATCGTATCAACTGGGAGATATATACTCCGTATGCAGATGCTGCTGGAATGTTGCTACAAAGAAATGGAAAGTTCACAATTTGGGAGCTGAAATCATCTCTTTTGTCGTAAAGGTTTGTTTTCAACCGACCCTCATTGTCAATTTTGATGTAAGTCACGATATGATCATCTGTTGTATCCTTTATCTCAGGTTCGATGGGATATATGCGTTCAACATAGTCACCAAATTTTGTATTATTTAGTGAGAGAACAGCATCTATATAGTGGAAAGTAAAGTTAAAAGGACGCCTCCGGGTGCGGGAATTTCTCGCTGCATTGAAGACCTGTTGGTGACCTTCTGCTGTTGTCTGTTCTATGGTCGGGTTGTTGTCTCTTTGACACATTCCCCATTTCCATTCTCAATTGTATTAAAAAATACTTTTAACTTCTTTTCTTTCTTCCTAAGAAGTTCCTGTATGAATTCACCCTCTGTAAAATGTAGGGTATATGATATTTCGTTTGTGTTTAGGTTTCTACAGGTACAGACAAACAACAAAAACAAATCTTAGCGTACACGAAAGAATTTAGTAAAGGTTTGAAGTAATTTGTGGTAACGAAATCCCGACTTAATAATTTACCAATTTACCAGTTATACATAAATTACGTTCATTGAAATTTAAAACGTCAGTACAGACACGGACATAGCAAAGGAATTGAAACATAAATCTGCCACTGTTTCAGATGACAATATCAATATTTTAAGCCTTATTGCCTAGTCAGTATATGTAATTTCAGTTACATACAAACCAGACAGAACGCTGTAGGCGTGTATATCGCCAATTGCCGACTTAGTCCACCAAAATTGTACTTTGAAGTGGAAATTGTTGCATTGGGTATCAACGGTACAATTGGTAGGTATTTGTGTATATAATGTTTATTATAGTATTCATTATTGACTTGCCCTTCCTTAGAACTATATATCGCTTTCAATTTAATTAGTGCTAATGTGTATGAACCAATTATTTTTAGATTTTGTTTGATGATTACACTAAACTGCAGTCAAGTTTACCGTTTGGTGATTCAATGATAACATTCTCGTGTATCACAAACAAACAGCCTTTAACTTCTAATTTCATTGCACAAAAGATACAGATGCATGTAACTGTATTATGCACGAAATTAATACAGTTAATTGAGATTTGAAAGCACTATGTTACTACAAAAATTGAATAAATTGAATACATGATTATAAAAATGAATGGTTGTCACCATATGTTCAATGAACGACCAACATGTTATACTGGCGAGGATTTTTCTTGAAGAAAACAGTGCAACTTATTAATAATAACCACATTTCCTGACGGTATACAATCACATCCAAAAGATTTTACTCCCGACATGTCAATATTTTTTATATCTAAATGCAGTAGTGGACATGGAAAGGACAATATATATATATAACATTATAATAGTTTGCGATTGTCTTTTGACTTTATTTTACAAAGAACTGTGTAGAGCATTTGCGAGTGGCTTTTTTTTTCTTTCTCAAGAAATCTGTGCATAATACTAGTAGATCAAAAGTGGTAATTACCTTGTACAATTAATTGATTTACGGTAACAGCTTTTGCACAAGCCACTACATAAACAATTAAGACGAAACAGTTTTGAAAGAACTCCATTCTGGATTCAGAGTCAGGGTTACGAGGTTCCTAACCCGACGAGTTTATTTCGAATATGAACCGTACGCTTGCCTAAACTTAATTTGAAACACTTTATTTGTATATTCCTCGGTATTTTACCGTAAAAACGTCAGCGTGATTTTAATATATTGGACGGTACCCGATTTATTTGTATCCCGATTTTTTTAATTTTCATAGGTATAGACCTACAATAACTTAATCCATTTAATCCTAAGCGTACAATAGGTTGTTCAGAAAACTAGACAGAAGTGATAGTGTTATTATATCGGAATCACTCGAAGAAGCTTTGTTTTTAAGTCTTTAGTCGTGACTGATAAAAGAAACATCTCCTCAATTTTCATTTCGTTTCAGGTGTTGGCCTAGTTCACGACGAATACCCCTTAAACAAACAGCCAGGATGGGATTCAGGTTCGATAGGTTTTCATGCTGACGATGGCAGGTATTATTCCTCATCTGAACTAAAATGCATAGATGAAACATTGAATTGTATGTTTATTTCCAATAAAGAAGAAGACCTTGTCCTTGTATAGTAACCTTACCAAAAGTTTGCAATGTGAAACAGTTACCAGTATTCTGAATGCTTGTCAGTTTCAAGAATATATACGTACTTCCTACTTTGTAAATCACTTATAAACTTTAAATAAGTTGAACAGCGTTACAAGTCAACGCAGATTTTGATGTAATTGGACTGCTTTTGGTTTCAATAAACGGTATCAAAGTTGAACAATATTATACGAGTATATCATTTAGTTTCTATTGAGTTTTTGAATTACTGTATCAAAAAGGTAATGATTTTGTGTTTCTATTGTGTTGTTTGATTACTGTATCAACAAGGTTTAACCTTATGTCTTCTTTTATTCATAATTGAATAATTCTCAAATGATTTGTATATTTACAAATACTTGACTTGGATTGGTTCGTTAGACATTTTCCCCTTGGTTAACAGTTCGATAGACCCTGTTGCCGAAACGTCCTTCGTTGCCTATGTTAACACAATGTTGATATTACTGTTAATGTATTCATGCGCGATACACATGTATGGGATCCTAGAGTCCCTATTTATTTAATTGTGACGTCACTTAAATGTAGAAAAAATCAAGCACTTTTCGAAAAATTAGGAAAAAAAGGTTATATTAGGCAACAACCATTTTCTTATCGGTTGGGGGGGAGGGGGGGCTGGGATTTTCATTGTGTTCATATTTTTTTTTCAGAACCTTCCTCCGATAAATTTTTGTTTTCTTATGAGAAGGAATAACTGTAATATTTTCTCTGTCTATGAAGAAATAACATCAAAAATGTAATGCACACTGAATAACCCGCGTAAAATATTACAGTCATTTCTTATAATTTAATTCTTAATTCCATTTTAAACCGGTGTAAATCATGAAAAAACGTTGATGACGTCAAGGTCACATGACAAAATTATGTCTATGAGCTGATAAACAAAACAACGTCAGCCAATCGGAAGACTCGTTACATCCAAAATTAAATTATTGTAGTATCACTTTCCTTTGTAGCATATAGTTGCCGTTGATATCAAATATCAAACGGTGAAGAAGTTAGTGAAACTCCCTAACGGATTATTTGACGAACTGTCATCTTATAGAAGTCGTGAATCTGACGAAAACTATCTATATTCCAGCTGCCTACGACGAAAGAACATCCAACTTAATGGCGACAAACTAAGGTTTGTGCAAAAATAATAGTAAATGATCAGTAAATAAAAGTTTAGTTAATAAAAGTTTGAGTACAAATTGTAGCTTGGTTATTCGGCAGACAAAATATCGAGATCAATCGTCAATAGAGGGTAACTATTTTGTGAAATCAACTGCTCTCATAATTTTTAACCCGGATCCCTCTTACTTAACAGAAAGTTATGACTGTCCATTTTTTTTAAGCATCTTTCTTGATTTCAAGTTGAACTTATACGGTTTCGGGAAGTTTAGTCGTAATCATTGAAATAAAAACATCTTGATCAATATTTTGATCATATTTTCATTCGAAAACTAATTCAGATATTACACTTTGGACTGGCCATGTAGTTCACATTTCAAACATTTGAATATTTCAACATTTGACGGTTCATTGTTTTTGTGAAAAGTTACTTCAAATTAGTCCAAAATTCTTTGAACTTCTATTTATCCCCATTATAACCCATTACTTCAAATTTAGACAATTTTACAGCTGCAAGATTTTACTAATGTCTATAAATGAATAGCAATACATATTTCAGCTTTGTTTTAATAATAATTGATAAATAACAAAAGCGATGACAGTACCGGTAAGGACAATATTCAAAGATCTTATTATGGTGTTAAATTGCTTACCTCAGGAATAAGTTTATTCAAAGGATCATGCAATAAGTTTGCATTGATCGTATCTTGATTGATGGGCTCTATAAACAACTAGGATGTGATATCCCGATTGTGATTAGGTTTCTACAGGTACAGCCAAACTAAAAAAAAAACGAATCTTAGCATACACGAAAGTATTTAGAAAAAGGTTTGAAGTAATTTGTTGTAACGAAATCCCGACTTAATAATTTACCAATTTACCAGTTATACATAAATTACGTTCATTGAAATTTAAAACGTAAGTACAGACACGGACATAACGAAGGAATTGAAACATAAATCTGCCACTGTTTCAGATGACAATATCAATATTTTAAGCCTTATTGCCTAGTCAGTATATGTAATTTCAGTTACATACAAACCAGACAGAACGCTGTAGGCGTGTATATCGCCAATTGCCGACTTAGTCCACCAAAATTGTACTTTGAAGTGGAAATTGTTGCATTGGGTATCAACGGTACAATTGGTAGGTATTTGTGTATACAAAGTTTATTATGGTAATCATTATTGACTTCCCTTCCTTAGAACTATATATCGCTCTCAATTTAATTAGTGGTAATGTGTATGAACCAATTATTTTTAGATTTTGTTTGATAATTACACTAAACTGCAGTCAAGTTTACCGTTTAGTGATTCAATGATAACATTCTCGTGTATCACAAACAAACAACCTTTAACGTATAATTTCATTGGACAAAAGATACAGGTGCATGTAAATGTATTGTGCACGAAATTAATACAATTAACTGATTATTCATGTTATTTTATTCATAACATTGAGATTTGAAAAAAAAATGAATGGTTGTCACCATATGTTCAATGAATGATTAACATGTAACACTGGCGAGGATTTTTCTTGAATAAAACAGTGCAACTTATTAATAACCACATTTCCTGACGGTATACAATCACACCCAAGAAATATGTGCATAATACTAGTAGATCGAAAATGGTAATTACCTTGTACAATTAATTGATTTACGGTTACAGCTTTTGCACATGCCACTACATAAACAATTAAGACGAAACAGTTTTGAAAGAACTCCATTCTGGATTGAGAGTCAGGGTTACGAGGTTCCTAACCCGACGAGTTTATTTTGAATATGAACCGTGCGCTTGCCTAAACTTTGAAACACTTTATTTGTATATTCCTCTGCATTTTACCGTAAAAACGTCAGCGTGATTTTAATATATTGGACGGTACCCGACTTATTTGTATCCCGATTTTTTAAATTTTCATAGGTATAAAACTACAATAACTTTATCCATTTAATCCTAAGCGTACAATAGGTTGTTCAGAAAACTAGACAGAATTGATATTGTTAGTATATCGGAATCACTCGAAGAACCTTTGTTTTTAAGTCTTTAGTCGTGACTGATAAAAGAAACATCTCCTCAATTTACATTTCGTTTCAGGTGTTGGCCTAGTTCACGACGAATAACCCTTAAACAAACAGCCAGGTGGGGATTCAGGTTCAATAGGTTTTCATGCTGACGATGGCAGGTATTATTCCTCATCTGAACTAAAATGCATAGATGAAACATTGAATTGTATATTTATTTCCAATAAATAAGAAGACCTTGTCCTATTATAGTAACTGACCAAAAGTTTGCAATGTGAAACAGTTACCAGTATTCTGAATGCTTGTCAGTTTCAAGAATATATACGTACTTCCTACTTTGTAAATCACTTATAAACTTTAAATAAGTTTGAACAGCGTTACAAGTCAACGCAGATTTTGATGTAATTGGACTGCTTTTGGTTTCAATAAACGGTATCAAAGTTGAACAATATTATACGAGTATATCATTTAGTTTCTATTGAGTTTTTGAATTACTGTATCAAAAAGGTAATGATTTTGTGTTTCTATTGTGTTGTTTGAATACTGTATCAACAAGGTTTAGCCTCATGTCTTCTTTTATTCATAATTGAATAATTCTTATATGATTTGTATATTTACAAATACTTGACATGGATTGGTTCGATAGACATTTTCCCCTTGGTTAACAGTTCGATAGACCCTGTGCCGAAACGTCCTTCGTTGCCTATGTTAACACAATGTTGATATTACTGTTAATGTATTCATGCGCTATACACATGTATGGGATCCTAGGGTCCCAAGCAAATTGAGAATGAAAAATAAAGCTAGAACTGTTATTCCTATTCTAATGCATAACTAAAAGAAATAATGCATTAGAGCTTGGAAAATGTATAAAATTGAAATTGAATAATATTCCTCGAAATTCCATTTATGATCTTGGCATATTTACGTCTTGGCAAAACATGACGTCATACTATTGAAAACTTTCAAGCTGAATATTATTCCGTTACTTGTACGCTTCAAATTTGGATAATATCTTTTTAAAATGGAGATTTTGAGGTAGGTGTTTTTTTTTTTCATTTTAGATTCTATTGCATTTAACAAACATTTATGGATTACAGCAAGTCAATATGACGGCTTACTCCTTAGTTACGACATGTCAACCGTGGATTTGACGGCAAATACACATAAAAGCCAATGAACAAAACAATTGTTACTATTAATTGCAAATGGTTCGGTAAAGACTTATAATGATTGAACACATTTTTTCTAGAGGTTATTGATGTGTTAATTGGGTCGTTTACTTTTAAACCTGACATAAAAGTCCTTCGTTAGTGAGTTAATTGTATCTGCAAATTAGTGAACACAGTTTTTTTTATAAATTTCTATACCTTAAATTATTGTTTACAGTTCTATACTTTATCTTTCAACAATATCAACTTTTTTGTTGTTGAAGAATATATATCGAGAAAGGTAATGGTCGTCCATATGGACCTTCGTCGAATGTTGGGGATATAATTGGATGTGGGATACATTTACCACCAGAAACGACTGCTTCACAAGGTCCACGTAACGCTAGTGTTTTCTTAACACATAATGGAAAGAAAGTATATGATATATTATGATATTGTAACAGTTATTTCTAATTATTGTAAGCAATATATGATGACTTTTAATAAACCACAAAAATACGTTCAGAAATTTATCAATCTTTAATTAATCATTAAATGTAAAAAGTAAAATAACAAAAATACCGAACTCCAAGGAAAATTCTAAACGGAAAGTCCCTTAGCAAATGGCAAAATCATATAGCTAGCTAAACCTCTCACTTGTATGACAGTCGCATTTTTTTTAATACCCTAATCTCGACTCTTTCACGGTAATTTTCATGCCAATAGTTTAATTCATTGACAACCACACTACATCTTCATTATATCTACTTATTATGTCTCCCCTTCCACGATTGGAGACCATTTGATTGACTAGTATTTCTTCTTCTGGTTCTTTCCATACAACCTTGTCCAAACCTTTGTTAAAGTTCGACACTGACTTAATATTTTTGGTATTGGGACAGTAAGTGTATTACCATACGATAAATTGTTGAATATGATTATGACCTTCATGTGACTTAGACCTTCGCCCGCAAGGTCAAAATACATTGTATTTTTTTTTACATTTTCGTGTCCGGAACATAACCTTTATACCATTTGACATCGACTTCTGATATTTGGTTAATGGGTGCAGCACCGTATGACAATGTGTCATTTCACATACATGGAAGATGATCTCTTACCTTGACATTTGACGTGACAGGTAAAATTATTGATTTTTATTTGTCCACCCCAACACCATACTAATTGTTTATTCTTGTTCATCATAACAAGACCTGTTCAATGATAACGGTCCCTCGTATAATAAATCGTTAACTATCTCATCAAATAATGGTTTAGATTCCAACCTTACACCTCATATTTTGTTAATTGCCTAGATAAGACATTTTTAGTTCACGATAGATTTTGTCCCTGGTGAACATGTCCCACCACCTGTATATCATTGCTTGTTAAGGTTCATGTGGACCCTATAGCTAAAATGGCTGTGTTTTCACTTCAAAATCTACTCTGTGTACAGACAAACCTGTGTATCTGGAAAAGTTTTAAAGCATAGCATGCCCTAGATAAATAAAATTCAAATGCATTGTATGTTTTAGAAAATTTAAAACTTAACTGAATTTTGCAGTGCACTTTTTTTCGTCCCTGCAGAAGATGATAAAATTAACAAACAGTTGAGTTTCACTTGATATGGTCCATTCAGGTACACAGTTTAAATCACCAATTATTGTCACGTATCTATTGTCCACCTATTGTCCATTTCAATCAATACAGTTCACTTCAATTATTACCTGTGGGGAAGTTCTCAAACCTCTTTCCCAACTTAGTTTATTTTGGCACCTTCTGGAGGAATGAAAAAAAGTGCACGGCAAAATCCTGTTATTTTTCTAATTTTCTCAAACATAGATTATATTTGAATTTTATTTATCTAGGGCATGCTATGCCTAAAAACTTTTCCAGATACACAGGTTTGTCTGTACACAGAGTAAATTTTGAGGTGAAAATGCAGCCATTTTAACCAAAGGGTCCACATGAACCTTAAATACACTAAATGTCATTGAATAGTTTGTAAATGTCCGTATGTTGACCTCTGATGTATTTAAGTATGATGTTTTTTTTTTGGTAACTTGTTAAATCACTGTTTACCATAAACATACTTTTATCCGTACTATTTTATCAGGTTATCTTTTTAATTTACCCTCTCTATCAAGCATTTGTCTCATACATACTCTATATTTTATTATTATGAAAAAATGTGAATTGTAAAAAATTACAAAAAATGATCTCCACACTTCGAATATCCACGTGCTTAAAAAACGCATTCCTAATTTGAATTTAACTGCTGCTTATCGAAATTCACCTTCAAAATTTAGCACATTTCACGATTGTGTTAAAGAGACAATGCATCTGCAACTAGATTGTTCAACAAAAACGCACTTGGATATTCACAAATATATTTCCGTGCAATGCCAGAAAATGACCAACCTGCTTCAGATTATCTACAGATAATACTGTTCGGTCATCAGTGAACGGAAAAACCTTTTCTATCTCCTTTTCATATGACATTACTTAAAAAACCTAAAGCCTCTTATATCTTGAACAAAATCTAAATATAGTATTCAATATGTAGGACAAACTGGACGTGAATGTTTCAAAAGAACACAAGAACATATATACCGCTTCCTCAAAAGGTTTATTTACCAACATTTAGAAAAACACAAACACAATACTAAATCTATAAAATTCCAGCTACTCCAAACCGTTCAGAAATAACCAGGACAATCATATAGACCGTTTGAAATTTCCCGTAATTTGCGACCGGTCTTGGATTAAACGTCTACAGAGCCTGACAGCGTATCCCCTAGATCTAAATGACAATACTATGGGCCAAGGTAACGTATCTAAAACTTTCTCTAGTGATATCATGACTATTGTTGATAAAAGACAACACAATCGTAGGTATCATGACACATGTGACAATCGCATTAACCGCAATCAACGAAATAAGTATCGTTCCAATTTTACACTTGCTGATCGTTTATCTATATTTAAAAACAAAGGTAGACATTAATTATTATGCAAACTGGGTCAAATGCCAATTAGTTAATTACATAATATTTATTACAAGTGTGATACAATATCGTTTTTCAGTCCAAAATATGAGTGTATATGTATTATTACAGCTTTGTCACCATAGACTGTTCCCTCGAATTGACAAACCTGAAGATCATAAAGATAATTTTCTAAAAATAAAATACATTAGTAGAGGTATTGATTATATTAATTTGTCTTGTATTTTTAATAACTCTACCGTTCAAAACTTTATACCTCCATATTTTGATAGCACAGTGCCACCTTTAATTTCTTATTCGTATAAAAAATAAAAAACAGTGGACGTTTGATTTTTAATTATATGTCAGTTACAACAGGCGTCAGTACAGAAAATAATGTTCCTTCAACGTGAGTCTGAGAAACATGAAAGTTTAGATTTGATCCCTATGGCCATACTTACAGGTGACCTCAACATCGTTCAGGACCGAGAGGTTATAAAGTTTCTAAAAAAAGGACCAAAATATCGTCCACTGTCGAAAATATATTTATAGTGTGTCAGCAGGTCATGAAAGATGTTTTTCCATCCTATTGTAAAATTGGTGTAAATTGGAGAAATCTGACAAAAAATCACTTGAATACTATTTAAATGAATATCATAATATTGTTGATATTCGCATATCACATGTCGAAAATAATTTGGAGTAAGTAATACGCTCATTTCTAGGATTAAAAACAAAATTCAAGTACTCGCAAAGCGTTTTGTGTTGGTACCGGCCGAAAAAGCAGCCAACAATGCTGTGGTGGTATGACATATATTACACGGAAGTCCTTAAGAATGAATTATACATTCAATGCCGTACGCTCCACAGAGCGTCAAATCGTAAATAATTATGTCACTACCACAGATCAGCTTAAGGCCTCCTCTGAACATTTGTAGGTCCCCAGTATGTATTGGTTACCTAAACTACGCAAACAACCCGTAAAATATCGTTTTATCTCGGCCTCTAGTATGTGTTCTACTACTAATCTTTCAGTGCTTTTAACGAATTCGTTTAATACTATCAAATAACTTTTCATTAACTTTTGTAATGAAAATTGTGAAAATAGTTTGTTAGACCTGGTTTTATAACTGGCTAAATTTCCCACTTGTATGACAGCTCTCTGTTTCAATAATTATCCGGTTTTCTTCTAGTTTATATTGTTAAGCTTTTGTCATACTAACTCTATTTGTGATTTTTGAAATTGTCAAATGAAATCCGTGAGCTAGACTATCATGTAAACTGACAGATACACTCTCATTATTTAGGTACAAGAAACAATAATATATGTGTCCACAGGAGACGCTGCCCCGCTTCCACTACATATTTCTATGTTCAGTAAACTGTTATATCAGGACCAAAATGGTACATGTCATAGTATTTAAATAATTCACATCGTAATTAATTCACATCGTAATAAACATATGTACTTAGTTTCAAGCCGATGTTACATCAACTTCATGGTAAACTACCTTTTAACCTAAGAAAGTTTTGTTTCACACTATCTCATTTCTACGGTCAGTGAACAGTAGAATGGGAGATAAATCAGCAATCTGAACCAAAAACTTAAAACTGATACGGAACAGACGAACGAACAGAAGAACGGAAGGAATAATGTACGAATTTACAGACGGAATTACGGACGGACTCACAGACTAAAAATCAAAACACGTCTCTGTGACTCCTCTCTACGATCGTTGGAGGGGGCGTAAACATAACAATCGGTTATTGTCATTTTTTATCAATCTTTGGCGTCTTTTTTTTTTAGCTGAAAACAGTAGAAGTTACTACCCAAGCGGAGGTTTCTTTCCTGCTATTGGATTGCATTGTATGAGGTGCCATAGTTATATTACACTTGAATGAGATAGTCACAATAGCAGAAGACGAAACAGAAAAAATTACAACACAGGTTTGTTTTGCTATAAAAATATGAAAAGTAATAGAGGAAATGATATTAAGATAAGGATATGTGATACGATTGCCAATGAGACGACAATCCACCAGAGTTCAAATGACGTAGATATAAACAATTATAGGTAGACAGGATTAAAAATCTAAGAATCCATAATCTGTGAATATGTATGCAAGATATAAAAACCATTTTGTCTATGAAATACTTACATAAAAAGAAGGATATTTAATAGTTGTGAAAAAACCAATTACTAGTATTAGAATTTGAACTTGGGTATCAACTAGTCCAATTTACCGATGATCGTTGAAGTTTTGAGTTGTGTACAAAAATGGTTTTTGTTTGACATCAATTCTACTGTTATAATCAAAGTGCCATATCCGTTTGAATGGCATTCCCAAATATGTAGTAGGGTCCAAGCTTAAGTGAAGTGTTGTTTTTATTCATATTTAACGATAAATATACTGTTGGGTCCATGATTTTTGGAGAATGAGTTCTTCTGAAAATTTATAAATAATAACTACAAATAATAACTCAAAATGGGTGATATATCTTTGTCAAGTTTCAATATACATTGTATATAGATTTCATGGCATTACAATGTTTCAAAATCGTTTTCAAATACAGGTACTTTTTTTTTAATTTTTAAACTGTGTTTTGTATGTTTTTAGTGGGCAATTGATACGTACATTAAGTAACTACTGACAGCAAGTTTTCAAACACTTTAAAAAAGCATTGTATGTCCATCTTTTCAGAAAAAATAGAAAAAAGATATTAAATATTTACTTCGTATTCAATCATATAATTTCCATAGGTGCGTGTGATACACATTAGATAGTTTATTTTAACTACTTTTCTCCGAATCAATATACTTTGTGTGTTTGGTGTGTTTGTTACCTCCGTAAACTGTTCTGTTTGCCTCCTGAGTATAAATATCAGATACACTTGTCGAAAACCGGAAGGTTCCTATAACAGTTTGTTTTCATACTGTTATATTTCTCATCTCATATATGAGCATAAACACAGTGTGGGAACGGGACTGTACAGTTTTTTCAATGATTTGTTCATTGGGGAGACTGTCAAGCGGGGCTGCGCCATTCGAAAAGTAACAAGTTGCTGAATGGAAGGTTCGATGTACAGCATTAGTAGAAGATGTCGTTTTCATTGTTTAATTGGGTCATGTATACATGTAGAGTGTTTGCTACCAAATCATGAAGCAGAAACTTTATATAGTAGCATGTGTGTACATCAAACCTTCCATTCAGCAACTTGTTATTTTGACAGTCTTACTAATGACAAAAAAATTGAAAAAAAACTGTACATTTCCTTTCCCACACTGTGATGAAGGTTAGAAGAAAAGACCAGAAACGTATTTGCAAGAGGTCATGTTTGCGACAGTTAGTTATCATCAAACATCTGATCGCTAACTGGTTACCTAAAGAAGAACCTCGTTGAACATCGGTAAACTACTGTTAATTTATATTTATGGCCTGTTATCTATTTGTCTCATATCACACTGAACGGGGTATTAAATGAATAAGTGATTCGAAAAATGCGTTAATTTGATTGACCTATTCTGCAATGTCATTGCGACAATTCAATGGATATTCAATAGGTCAATAATGAGTTTATTGGTAATAAAGGAGTACTTTGTTCTCCGTGACAACGGATACAGACGATTTCTTCAATTTCAATAATATACACAAACTCTTTATTTCACCCGAAAACCATCTTTTTATGGCCCCGCAACAAAGTTGTTGGGGCCATATAGTTTTACCCTTGTCCGTCATTCCGTCTATCTGTCATTCCATCATTCCGTCATTCTGTCATTCCGTCATTCCGCAACAAACCATTATACGCAATTTTTTTCTAAACGCCTTCAGATATTGGGCTGATTTTTGGTATGTGAGTTAACTATGATGAGTTACAGATCAAGTTTAAGTTTCGTTCCGCTCTGCTAATTTTTGCTGAAATTACGGACTTTGGCATTTGATAAATTGTTGAAAATCACAGTTATCCGGACTTTTTTCTAAACACCTTCAGATATTGGGCTGATTTTTAGTATGTAAGTTAACCATTATGAGTTACAGATCAAGTTTAAGTTTCGTTCCGCTCTGCTAATTTTTGCCGAAATTACGTGCTTTGGACTTTGATAAATTGTTGAAAATCACAGTTATACAGACTTTTCTTCTAAACGCATTCAGATATTGGACTGATTTTTGGTATGTGAGTTAACCATGATGAGTTACAGATCCAGTTTAAGTTTCGTTTCGCTCTGCTAATTTTTGCCGAAATTACGTGCTTTGGACTTTGATAAATTGTTGAAAATCACAGTTATATGGACTTTTCTTCTAAACGCCTTCAGATATTGGGCTGATTTTTGGTTTGTGAGTTCACCATGATGAGTTACAGATCAAGTTTAAGTTTCGTTCCGCTCTACAAATTTTTGCTGAAATTACGTGCTTTGGATTTTGATAAATTGTTGAAAATCACAGTTATACGGATTTTTTTTCTATACGCCTTCAGATATTGGGCTGATTTTTTGGTATGTGAGGCAACCATGTTCTTCAAACAAGTAGTGGTCTTGAGAGCTGGATACTATCCATGCATGTTTGTGTCCACATGTGTTGTTGAAATTGCAGATTTTTCATCTTTTTGAGACGGGGCCATTCGTGTTGTTCCGACACATCTAGTTATGAAAATTGATTCGGATCCATTCTTTATTATAATTTATGTTTTAGATGGAGGCACCAAAGAAGGAGAAATGTACATTGTTAGACGGAAGTCTGTTCAGGGAAACACGTAAACAGAATATTCTAACGTCTGCAATAAAGAATAATTTACAGGAAAACCCGACTGCTTCCGTTGCTGGTTGGGAATATTATAATTTAAAGAGATCGTATGACACGCTACATTCGTTACAAATGGATGGAAGAGAGGTAATGTATAATTTCTCTTATTACCTGTATTGTAAGTGTTGACTGCCTTGTCAATAATTACTGCAGAAATACATTTTGTTAGCAATATTAGTGAACAAGCGTTGTGTCTATTGTTTTTATGTTAGTTGTGTGTGCCTCGTACCGATCTTTTGCGTTAAGCCAATTGCAACTGATTTTTACAGTTTGTTCTTATGTTGTGTTGTAAAACCACTGTCCCATGTAAGGGGGAAGGTTAAGCGCCCACAAACATGTTTAACAACGCCTTGTTATTTATGTCCCGGTACCAAGTCAGGAGCCTGTATAGTTCAGTGGTTGTCATTGGTTCATGTCTGTCATATTGTTTGTTCTTCGCAAATTGTTTTGTTATAAATAAGACCGTTATTTTTTTCAATTGAATTGTTTCATGTTGGGTCCTTTTGTAGCCGACTATACGGTATGGGTATTCGGTTGCCTATAGTTGCTTACATTCACTTCATTTGAACTTTGGTGGATAGTTGTCTCATCGTTAATACATACCACATCTCCTTATTTTTATATTTCAATCCTTTAAACCTGAAAAAATGAAACGCTCGATTTTATACACAAACGGAACGAATTGAAAACGCTCTGCAACCATTCTTCCCAACCAACAACGTTTGTCTTTGGGTCATATTATTGTTATTGGTGTTTGATAGGTTTAATATTTGCCTCTGTGTAAACATTGTGCACACAATTAATTATATGATTTGGAGTCAACATCGAAGTAATCGTTGATGTCTGTTGCAAGAATTCAGAATAAGCACATTTTTATTAATGACGTCTTTTAAAAATTGTTTAAGTAGAATACATCAAAATGAAATGTAAGTTTAAAAACATGTGTTGAAAATATCGGGGTTGCCAGCCAAGAAAGCGTTTAATCCATTACATAAAAAATGCTAAAAGGTGTTGCTATTTATAAACACTTAATATATGTACTTAAAATTGCAGGAAAATGAACAGCTATTCGAAATTTAAAACTTTTGAAAACAGGACGACGAATACCTACCACTTTTCATCCATGATGTGAAGAATAATTTTATGGACAAAGACGGAACTTTGATATGGCGAACTCGATTGACTATTTTGTTCACCATCTTACTTGTATTGATTGACTGCCATGATGTATATTACTTACTTTTATTAGATTCTTTTTCTTTGTCGTTTCACATAAAATTTTCGATAAAAGTTTGACGAATATCACGGATATCTATTGTATTCATTACAATTGCCACTGATGAATTATTAATACCTAAAGAAACCATCTGCCCAGAAGCTATTGCCTCACGTTTAGCACGATTTAAATTATAGATTATGACTACACAATTTCAGTTAAAAAAATGCGCGTTCGTTATAAAAATAAGTTTGGAACAATTTAGCAATTGCTTGAACAATGACACTAATAAATGAATAAAAACCCGATTTTCTGTCATGTCGACAGACTCTTGTTTAAAATTAATTTATCCAATGTTTCATATTCACGGCTTCGCAAAGTTCTGGTTTCGGTTGTACGTTTTGTCATTCTACTGATCGAGATTAAAAAGGGGATAACTAATATACTTGGCCTTTGTATTATATACCTGTTTCTAGACAAAGACCGTGTCAAAGTTATCGTAATTTCATATCTTAATATCTTTTATTAGGTGAATTAGGTGTTAATGGCATATCTTTGATTGTCGTCCCCGACATCTTATGTTGTGTTTGAAAACCGCTGTCCAAAATTAGGGAGATGGTCGAGCGCTCTGAAACTTGTTTAACCCCGCCACATTTTGCATATGATTGTACCAAGTCCGAAACCTGTAATTCAGTGTTTGCCGTTGGGTTTTTTTTGTCGTGCTTCACACGGTAAAAAATCTACCCAGGAAGTACATACGGATACTAGTATTAAAGCGTTCGGCATCTGACCCAGTAGTTTATGATCTTGGAGTATGCTTTCATCAAATGCGGAAATCAAATGCTATCATTATGTATATTGAGTTTAATTTGTATCCTAATTTTGTAAATTAATACATCGTTATTGAAGAAGACAGTCATTGTTCAGAAGTTAAATTATGAAGAAGACCTTATATTGACCTTTAAATGCCTTTCTGTTCTTTTTGTGTGTATTTTTTGCGATCATATATGCACTATCCTAGAGTCGGATAAAGCCAATTAGCCTCGGTGGACTCGAGTTTGTGAGTTCGGTCCCTGGTGAAACCAGACTTGAAAATGAATTTTGCTTGTTCTCCGCCTAGCACGCAACACGAGGAGTAAGAGCAAAGAATGCATGATCTCGCTCGGGAATATTTTGTGCTGTTAGGGAAACCTGTATTCCAGCAGAATGTTGCCTTGTGAACTACCACGTTTAAAATCCAGTTTAGTGTGACTGTCTTTTACAAATCATGGTAAAAATCATATAAGATAATATAAAATCTAGATACTTTCGTCCTGCTGTGCATGTAATACTTGCCAATGGACGTTAAGCATTCGTCCATCCATCCATCCATCAAATAGTTCTTCGGCCCATACCACCACAGCCAGTTCAATTTCAGAAGGGACAATTTTACTCCTCCACCGAAACTGCGGCTCCATCACGGCTGTATATCGAGAAAAATGATTGTGAAAGAATAAGTAACAATGGTTATGTATTGTGAGTGGATCGCGAAAGATTGGGTATAGGATCGTGAAGGAAATATTATCGAGAAGACACATGCCACGTCAGTAAATAATCTAATATAATGAATAAAAAAAACCATGATGAAAAATATTCGGAAAATAAAACTGTCTGTCAAAATGGTTCAACATTATGATCAGTATCCGAGAAAAATCAAAGATTAAAAGTACACCGTTTTTACAAAACTGCAATAGGCAGATTGCTCATCGAAATTTCAAAGAAATAAGAATGTAAACAAACATGATTTCTTTCATATTTTGAATGCATAAACTACTTTTCTCTTTACAATATCGTTCAATATTACTGTTTAAAATGGTTCTTTATAAAGTCATTTAGTTTTAGTTTAATCAGAATCATTAATTTGCAAAAATGAAAATACTTTGTAAACATTTGATATTTCGGATAGTGAAAGATCGGGTACGGCTTTTTAATATTTGTGAAAAGGATCGTAAAAGATCTGTTGCCGCTTATTCTTTATTGCACAAATCCACGAAAACGATCAAATCATTTTTTAGACACATGATAATACATATTTGTAATTGTTATATCATTTATTGGATTTGCATGACTCATTCCGCTGCACTTTTGTTTGCAAATAGGGCTATGATAGTTTAATGCCATAATTGGATCTGATTATTTGATAATACCACACCGACTAGTCGCCTTATAACAATAGAAGTCCGTCTGCCGTCTGTCCGTCCTCCATAAGTTTTATGAAAGGTTAAGATTGTCTTATCTGATTTCCATTAATTTTTATGTACAGTCATATCTAAAAAACGAAGATCCTTGTTGATTTTTGTAAAGATTGAAAAAAAAACATTGTTTGAAAAACACCACAGGAAAACAACTCTCATATTTCTGAATTGGCACAGGCATTTTCCTAAGATAATGGTGGGATAAACCACAAGCTAGCTAGAACGCCCACTTAAATGACAGTTGTTTATTGTTCCGTAATATTGCCAAATTGGGTGAGCAACCCAAACAGACATAATTGATTAACGTGGCCATCATTGGGATCCAGCAGCCAAAACTGTGTAAACATACATAGCAGGCATACAACACAACGGAATTAAATATTCAAACACATTTGCAATTAAATAAAAAGAAAGACGCCAACAAAAAGAGTTTTTGTAGATAATACAGTGACTATAGTAAAGCATAATGACATACACACTTTCCCGGTGAAAAACAATATAGTAAGATATAAATACAAGTGTATAGAAAATCAAAACAACACTATAAAAACCTCATGTATCCGAACCGCATCTCTGGTCTCATCCGTAGTAGGAACGCCAAGAGCCAAAAACCTGAAAGCTGAATGCACATATACCGAACCACGTCAAGAGTCATACGACCAAATGGAGCAAAATAGTACAAAGACAAGTAAAGGTAAAACTGTAGATAAAATTCTTTACAGAGTCAGCACCTAGAATCTAAAACTCAACACCATCCTGTACCATTTGTGAAGTAGATGCATTTAGCATTATAATTACATTGATAACTACTTTTCGACAATTTACGCTTCTGGAGGTCTTTTTATCTTGGATGCCTAGTTAGCATTGCCTCTTAAATAAATGAAAACAGGTCTTAATATGGTTCTATATGTATAATGTATGTATAACACAGCCCCCCTCCCAATCCCTCCCCCCAAAAAATGAAAGCATTAATTCATGGTCTTAGTAAGTAGTAACACGTTTCTACCAATTGGTAAAAGAAAATATATTTCAGATCTTTTCAAAATATTTTAATGCACAATTCGGGGTATCACATGATCTTGACGTAGCTGTTTTTTTATATATCAATTGTTCATGAACATCAATGCCAGTTATATGTTACAGTATTTAAGTGTTGAAGTATATGCATATCTAGTCAGATGAGCACTCGGAAACTTGTTTAAATTCATCCCTGTTCTAATCTATCAACACGTATTTACTCGACATCATATAGCATGGTAAACCAGCGAAGGCAAAATTATTTACTAATTGGGGTATCAGAATGGATCTTGAATACCCGTACTGAAACTATGTCCGTACTTAATATCTTCTCCAGTCTGGGACATGTTCTTAATTCTATATATCATTTTAGCCAATAGAATCTTTCACTCATCAACTGGGTTGCGTTCAATATCGTAGCGGCTACATAGGGCTACGTAGATTTGTGACTATTGAACGTGTAGCTAGCCTAGCTGCTACATAGATATTGAAAGCAGCTAGGCTAGCTACTCGTTCAATAGTCATAAATTTACGTAGCACTACGAAGCCGCTACAATATTGAACGCAACCCTGGCAATCAATGAGAACTGATAAGTGTTACGTAATAATTTCAAGATGGCGTGAATATCGTATGAAACTAATAGCTTCGCACCGTGATACGAAGCAATAACATATATAATCATTGTATGTATTAGTTATAAAAATAAGAAGATGTGGTATGATAGCCAATGAGACAACTCTCCATAAGAGACCAAATGACACAGAAAATAACAACTATAGGTCACCGTACGGCCTTGAACAATGAGTAAAACCAATACCGCATAGTCAGCTATTAAATACACTTTGAGGACGTTAGCCCGAAAGAGTGTATCTAATTTACACCAAAATATTGGTGTCAATGTAGATTGGTAATTCAATAATTTAGGAGGAGGTCTTTCAGTAATTTGATCATATGTTATTGAAAAGCATGATAAATGCAGGGTATCCCATTTCATTTCACGACATCTTAGCATAAATGATCATGCCTACTTAAATAACCTCCTGCTAAAACAATGGCGAAGACATCGACAACTAAATGGTGTTGTGTGATACAAACAATGGCATGCATTTCTGCTACGAATGATTTTGCAAATACCAGTTTGACGTCATATATGTCCTGGTCTGGCGTCAAACTTTAACATAAGATATTTTAAAACTTTTTGTACGCTTCAAAATGTAATAAAATTTGACAAAAAGAAGATTTTCAGGTAAAAAGCGTGAATGTTTTGGATATCATTGAAGAAATCACATATGCCCTTTGCCATGGATGAAATGTACATCGTCTTAACCCTTCGAAAGTGATCAATGACATTACTAATAGGCAATTGAAATGCCGTTATATCGGTCTCATGATGCTGGATAATTAGCCTTAGATAATTAGTTTGCTTAAGAGCAATTCTCTGTAACCGCCAGACATTTCTCATAACGAGGAGGGAGAGGGAGAGCCGGGAGGGAAAAAAAGGGGGGGGGGTGTGTTGGTGTTGTCGGCACGCATATTCACCAATTTTCCAAAACAAAAAGTTAGAAAAATGCCATCAAAAATGCAGCTAGATCACGGTTGCCATGAAAGCAAAGTCAATGGGTTTTCCCGAACATTTTGGGGAATTTAGAATTGAATAAAACTTGAGATACTTGACTAACAAAGAAAGGCAAAAGATGTCAAATGGACATTCAAACTAAAAAAATCGAAAATAAACTAACAACGCCATGGCAAAAAAAAGAAAAAGACAAAAAGACAAACAACAGTATACAAAACACAACTCAGAAACCTAAAGACTGAAATACACGAACCCCACAAAAAACCGTGGAGGATCTCATGTGCTCTGGGAGGGTAAGCGATACTGCTCAACATGTTACACTCGTCGTGTAACTCCTGTAAAATATGTTGATACGTTATGTCAAGTGTTTATATATTTTTTGTTTGAAAGTTGTCACAACCGAAGAAGCAGATTTCATTTTTTTTGTGATTTTTCATTGTATTTGTGAAGGCAAACTATATGCATTTTGCATTGTGAAAAAATAGACAGTTTTGCATCCACTTCAATTAAAATTGTGGTTATTAATATGAAATTTCGATGTTTCTTATAAATACTAAAAGTAACTTACAATAAAGTGTTGAGCATTTAACGATCTTAAATATGACCATAGGTCAAATG